TATATACTGTATATGTGCAGTGAGCGGGGGATTGTTGTGTGGAAGGTCTGAGCTTTGCAAACATTCCTCTGGACAGTCAGTTGTATTGTGTTGTAACTGCTGAAGAGGTCTCCATGTGTAATACACGAGTGTGTGTTTACTGTATGTGTAGGAGCTCCTCAGGGTTCAGAGTTCAGCTGGAGATGGACCAATCAATGGGCCTCCTCTTGACCCCGCCTCCCCCCGCTCTCTTCCCCGCCACATCTTAGTATTCACAGCACAGACATCAACACAGATCTCTATTCATCCACTCAGTGTGAGCTCCGGCGTGGAGAGAGGAGAGGGAAGGGTCACACAGGACAGGAAGGGACAGAGCGTATCACATCGCCTCGGTTCTTGGTCTTTTGTTTCAGCTGTCTTGTTTTTTCGGTTTTGTTATATTCGCCGCGGAAAAGCAGAGGCAGATTGAGACAAAAGGTCCATTTAACAAACAGTGAGTGAGGGCAAGAGAGAGGAAGAGAAAAAGAAGGACGAGGAGAAAGAGAAACCGCAGCACCAGCCCCTGGGTGTCTATGGAGACCTCTCATTTAATAAACTGGTGACACCCAAATAGACACTGACACTGTCTCATCACGTCACCGTCCTCTGGATCCGGCATTCACTCCACACTTTAATGCATTATGAGCAGACTATATGGCCAAAACTATGTGGACACACAGATGAACAACTCCACTGGTCTGTGAGGAGTTTTTTTTGGAGAGATCTGATAAAAAGACGCCTCACATCCTCTAAATGAGTAGATCACACTGACGTTTGTTCAAGTTCAGTCTGAGGACAGAGGTGTCGACTGATGGAGCATCTTTGAAATGATGTTGTTGAAGATCCCACCTGCTGAGATAAGAAATGCATGATGCGTAAAATCACTCGAAACTGCCACATGAGTCCTTCTCCTCTTCGCCCCAAATATTCCATCCCTCTGAATGCAAATCTCCATGTGTCACATCTGCTGCAAATGCTGCACACTTGAGGTCTGTGCTCAAGTAAAAAACACGACCCAGCGTGAAAGGGACAGTATGAAAACTGCTGTCAGCAAAATGGAGCAGGGTGACCACCAGTGGAAGATCTCTGGATCTTTGATTCAAATTTAAAGACTCCTTTTCTTCCCTGAAGAAATAAACAGTGAATAGTGTCTCCTCATCTCGACTCAGTAGCCGTCTTGTGCAACCGACCGGGCCAGCATTATCACGCTTTTAATGTGAAAGAGCAGCTGTGCCTTCATGCTGAAAGAGGGCTTTTATTTTGACAAAGCCAGCTGCCTCCAGTGAAAGGTGAAAGGGGCTCAAATGGACCACCCTGGACACGGTCCAGCTAAGAATGTGCTTCTAATCCCCCCCTCGTCATCTCCTGTTGTGAAATGACATGTTCCACTCTGTCATTTTCTGATTCATGTGATATTAGGAATTTCTTTTTTCCTTCCTCTTGCACACATTGTTCCGCTATTCATCCAAACTCACCTGCACGCCATCGTCTTTATATTTAGATTCATGATGCGTCTCCACTTCCTCCCACAATTTAGAAATGAAGCCAAAATTCTTCCAAAGAAGCGAGAGAGGGACGGGGCTGTGTCACGAGGCGGTCTCAGCTGTCAATCATAACCTTTCACCCTGTTCTTATAGCATCAAACTACAAATTAGAGCCAAACTTATATAAGCATAAACATGAGTGCAATAAAAACGACCTAAAATGATAGAAACCATCTTTGAGAAAAACATACTTGACCTGTGCTTTGACTTTTTAGTTTGGTCCGTGTCCCATCAACTAACATGGAGGAAGTGAGGTTCAATGACGTGTACTGCAGCCAGCCACCAGGGGGTGATTGAGATGCTATGGCTTCACTTTTAAGAAGTCATCATGTCGTCCATCTTCTTTTTTTAATGGTCTCCTCTTTCTGTCTCCAACCCCTTGCAGTACCAGCCATGACCTCAGCCACTCCCCCGTCCTCAGAGGGCTCCTCCCCCCAGAAAGTCTGCCACTCACAGACGCAGACGGACATCACCAAGCCCCTGCTGGGCTCCACAGGCGTGGCCGGAGCAGCTGGGGCAGGCGGAGAGGTAACAGGTCCTGGGGGGACCAGCGCTCTGCGAAGGAGGCGCCGTGTCCTCTCCAAAGATGGACGAAGCAACGTGCGTATTGAACACATAAGCGGGAGAGGGGCACTGTACCTCCGCGACCTCTGGACAACTTTTCTTGACATGCAGTGGCGCTACAAGTTCTTCCTCTTCTCTGCTACCTTCGCGGGGACCTGGTTCCTGTTTGGAGTGCTGTGGTACCTGGTAGCAATGGTGCATGGAGACCTACTGGGTAAGGGGGACGGACTGTCGAAGAAAAAAAAAAAGAAAGAATCAAAGAAAGACATGAAAGGCTCGTTATCTCACTTAGAATCTTCATGAACCTCTATAATGAGTCAGTGGAACATCTGTACAACCTGTCCCCGCCTCTCTGTTCCCCTCGGCGTCGCCACATGTACGATGGTTATCGAATCTCGACACAGCTTCAAAACCGTCAGTTGTAAGCGTCCCATCCCTAATCTGGTCAAGTACAGTTTCTTCAAGATCCGATAATTCGATAACTTTAAGCTTCTGGTGCGATTCTTCATAATTTCCCGTCTGGCAACGCTGGTTCTCCTCAAACAATGATGTCTCATTGTGTCTCTTTTCACAGAGAAAGTACACAAGTAGTTTTTTGTGAATAAGACAGTGAAGGACACACGAGAAAGACCTGGCAGAAGAGAGAGGGACAAAATGTTTCAACTGGTTGTTTCCCCCGAATGCATGATCCTCTCTTCTGTCTCCCTTCCTCTCTCCAGAGTTTGACCCCCCCTCCAACCATACACCATGTGTGATGGAGGTGAAGACCCTGACCGGGGCTTTCCTCTTCTCTCTGGAGTCTCAGACCACAATAGGTTATGGTTTCCGGTGCATCACGGAGGAGTGTCCTGCCGCCATCGTCCTGCTCATTTTTCAGCTGGTCATCACCATGGTGATGGAGATCTTCATCACCGGCACCTTCCTGGCAAAGGTAGTTAGAAAAATGTGATCGGAATAAGTGGAATTCACTGACAGATTATTGTCTTGCACCACACTCGACCACTAGGGGTGTAAGATAGCACACATCAACTTATTTCACTGAAAACCTAAATGTTCTTTGTTTAACGTATCTTCAGTGTGATAGCCTCGCTAGTATATTCTGATCAGTTTCACTTTGCAGTTGATGTTTACATCATTAAATATCAATCTTTACCCAGAATTCAACAGCTTTCCCTCCACTTGCAGGTGGCTCGTCCCAAGAAAAGAGGCGAGACGGTGAAGTTCAGTCAACATGCTGTTGTGTCAAATCATGAGGGTCGTCCCTGCCTCATGATCCGAGTGGCCAACATGCGCAAGAGCCTGCTGTTAGGATGCCAGGTAATGAGACGAAAGGAACTTTGAGATTTATTTATCGTCTGCGCAGATTTTATTATTTGCGTATTCAATTGTTTTCTAGAGTTTTTGTTCTTCACAAAGTTACCTGTTGTTTATTGATTAAACTCAGTGATTTAAAACTTACGTGACATCCTGTCGATGACGACTGAATGATAATCATTTGCATGCTTGCCTTACTGAAATGTATTAAAGACTGAAAAGTAAGCGCGTGGCCGAGAGCACATCCCTGCTGATGGAGATTTTGGCCATTTCAGGTTTTAAACCTGGGCCCTTTTGGTTACAGGATGCCTTCTGCTACCTCTTGGCTACATTTACTGACTCCATCTTGGCTCCCAGGTGACGGGGAAGTTGCTTCAGACGTCTCTGACAAAGGAGGGCGAGACGGTGCGGCTGGACCAGCGCAATGTGCCTTTTCAAGTGGACACGTCCAGCGACAGCCCCTTCCTCATCATCCCGCTGACCTTCTACCACATCATTGACGACAACAGCCCTCTCAGAGCCTGGGCAGCAAAAGGTATATCTGAGTGGACTTCCTTTGGTCAGTGGGTGCAATGCATTCTGGGAGCTTGTTTTATTCTTTTAAGCTACAATATGCAAGTCCTAGAAGTCAAGGCAAACTGCTCCCCTCCTCCCACCCCATCCCTCTCCCTGGTCTGTTCTACTCCGCCCTGCCTTTCACCTACACCCTCGTGTTCAGAATCTCAAGAATTGACAATAAGTGTATGTAAGCATGCGCTGTGTGTGCATGTAGGTGTGATGGTATTTACGGTCATGTGCTGCGCGCTTGGTTGCCTCTCGCTGCCCAGCGCTGGGCTGGTTTGGCCCTGGAGGAGAGGGTTTCTCTGGCTGGAATGTGTGTGAGAGAGAACGCCAGAGACACCCCTCATTAGAGCACAAAGCTGTACAGTCTGGGGTGCTGACACGAAGCCTGAGCAGATCCACTTACAGCAGCTCAGACCTCTCAGCGCTGGAAGCTTCACATGCGTCGTTTAAACCAACACTACTCGTTTCCTCCCTTGTCCTCACTTGACGCACTCGATTTTTTATCATTTGTTATCATCGCTCCATTTCCTCTTTGTCTTCATGTCTTTATCACTTTACTTTTTGCACGTTTGCTTTGTGTCAACACTCTTTAACCTCCAGTTCCCCCTTCAGTCCCCTTTCTGTTGTGATCTGCGTCTTTGTCGTGAACCTTGAGCTTCAGGTTATTTCTCCTGTCCGTTTGTTGGTCGGTTGGTTGGTTTGTAGCTTTGATTGTGTATCTGTAAGCAAGATTACACAATAACCAGTGAAAGGATTTCCAGGAAACTTGTTGGCGGAATGAGGAATGGGTCCGGGAAGAAGCCATTCAATTTTGGTTTGAGTCCAGATCAGGGGGTCAGGATCCAGGAATTTGTCATCTCAATTCATTTGGGGAACTAATAAGGATAAGTGTGAAGTATGGTGCAGCTGATTCAGGGACCTTTGGGCCTTGAAGGTGCTACCTGAGAAGTACCAACTGACAGTAGCAACTTTTTGTTGCCAGGTCACTATTGTGACTGAATTCTGCCCAAGCCCGAGTTCATTGCCACTGGAGCATGATTCTGCACTAACTGGTTCAGCTGACGGAGCTTTAGAGCCCCCTGCAAACCTCCGCTTTATCTCTTTGTGCTCAGGACGTGAAGCTCCAGGGAACAGCTCTATAGGAGCAGTTGATTCAGGCTTCCAGTGCAACAGAGTGTGAATCTTCTCGACATTGTGTGACCATGAGGCATAGAATCAGGATGGCAGGACAGTGTGTCCATAGAGCTGCTTTCAGACATGCACCGAAATCCACAGAGGTGCATGTGTGAACGCAAATGTCTGACTTTCTCCTCCTGACCTCCTCAGACATGTATTCATTTTATAGATGTCTAAACCCACTGAGCCAGAATCTCAGCTCATTCCTCTAAAGTACTGCAACACACACACACACAGACACACACAGACACACACAGACACACACTCACATGATCGTGGAGGTAAAATTGCACATTATAAAAAATGTGGTTAATAAATGCATTTCCTGTAGAGCCGAGGGATCATGAAACGAGGTTGATGCCTGTCAGTTGAAAAGGGAGCAAATGTTTGGGGGCAGGAAGTTTAAAAAACCGATCAATGTCAACAGGATATAAAGCAGAGACGTAAATACGGAGGCAGGAAGTCACACTGGTTAACGCAGCAGGTATAC